CTCTCTCTCTCTCTCTCTCTCTCTCTCTCTCTCTCTCTCTCTCTCTCCCCTTACCCCCTTTCTCTGTCTCCACTACCCTCTCAACTCCCCTTCTAATGTCCTGAATAAATTCTATTCTGTACTATGCGTTGTGTGGCTGGTACCTTAGGGGGAAGGGCTGTCTCAGCATGGGCCCACAGAGGCACCCCTTTGCCCCACACCTTACTGCACCTCCACCATAAGTATTCCTTCTTTCTTTACTTTTATAAAACACAAACACACAGAGATCAACTGAAAATACCAACTCAGCTGGTAGCCAAGAAGATAAATTCCTGCTCTATGAGTATTTCATCATGAGGAAATGAATCCCATCCAAACAGAACCCTCTCTCCTTACCTTCTCCACATCTCCCAGGCCCTCGGTGTCAAGCAGAACCAAAGTGTGGTCTGGCTTTTGGGGGTGGGGCACACACCACATCCAGATCCCCTTGGTGTGAGACTGCACAGTGGAGCCAACAGAAAAACCTGGAAAGCAAAGAAGCAGGAATGATAGAAGAGGGATCTGAAATTCGTGTATTCCCTTGAGAAGTTAAACTAAGATGTAAGGAGAAGAAGATGTCAAGACAGTGCACAAGGCCGGTGATCGCGGAAATGGAGGCAGAGGAATGGGCAAATAAAGTAATACTAAGGACTGAAAGTTGGGATCTGATGGTTTTTTAAAAAAACATCATTCCATGCTTCTAAAAATTTAGTAGTTTGAATTTATTTCGTTGAACTTATTTCACTGATGTCATACTTCTTATAAAGGAAACATGTTTTGCCTTTTTTTCCAGAAACATATTGAGGAATAAACACATGCTAAGTCACAGATAGATAGAGAGCATCCCTTTATCTATCAGCTGAGGCAAACAGCAGCTGCGGCACAGACACAAGCTTTCAGTACCCAGCAGGGTCCCCAACTGTCTCTCCTCATACCCTAGATGCGCACAGTGTGGGTGGCTAGAGAGGACTCAGCAAGCATCATTGGTCCTCACCTTTCTCCTTCCCCGCCAGCTTGTTCATCAGGTAGGATTTGCCTGTGCGGTAGAGGCCGACGATCGCCACCACCACCACAGGCTGTGTGATGGCGGACAGGATCTCCAGGGCTTCCTGGTTAGTCACTAGGTGTTCGTCGTCGGTGTTCCCAATGAGGCACATGGGCTCTGGCATGTGAATCTCTGGGGCCATGTCTGCGACGTTACTTGTCCGCAGGGGAAGAAATAGGATGACCTGAATTTTCTAGTGTTTAAGGAAAGACGTCTTACCCACTGAACCCTGGAACAAGTGGCCCATTAGGATTGCCTGAGGTTCTGAGAAGTTTAAAAATAGATCATAAAGGCAAAGTACAGTCATTGCAGACCTGGAATAGCATGCCCCATAGCATCTTAAGTACTTGACACACACAGGATACTCATATCTTGGGCCTCTGCTGACAGTTTGTGTCCAGTTCATTCCACTAGCTTCTGGCTTGCCAGTGTTCCTGGTTTATACCTGCTGATTTCCCTGGAGAAACTGGCTGTTGCTGTGTGACTGGACTACTTTACTGCCCCGCCCCAAGAAATTATGTCAACAGATTTTTTTTAAAAAAATTACACGTTTACTTCTTGAAGCTGTCCTTTAAAAAAATAATAAAAAAAATAAAAAAATAAAATAACATGTTTTACACAGTTGCAAATGTCCTTTCTTAGCCCCAAATTTCAAAGCATGATCATTTTTTTTTGAAACTAGCAAAGTGATTGAAAAGGCATCATCATCTCTAACCTGACAGTTATCTAAGAAAATAGTATACGCTGAATGATATAAGTAACAGCTGCTTTTATTACTTTGTTTATCAGGGAGGCAGTTATCTTTCATTTTAGCACTGATTATTTATCGAAGAATCTAAACAGCCACGATCTCCGTCAAGTTCATTTGTCATTACAATACTAGCATGGAATGACCTGAGCCTGTTACACCAGCAGACATAAAAAAAAGTATGTGTTTCTTTGATGTTGTATTTATGATAGTAGAGACACATCCGCTCCTCACCCTCAAAGCCAGGGCCAGGCAAATCTTGACTCAAGCCTGTGAGCAAGAAGTTGAAACAGAAGCTGTTTTGAAAGGAGCAGCAGGGAAGATGCATCCCAGACGGAGCTGCATCAGAGCCTGGACATTAAGAAGTGCCTAGTACAAGCCCTTGCCAGAGAGCAGCGTGAACTGAGAATCTCAGATGCCAAGTGCATTTCCATTCCAGTCCATTCCTGACGAGATATTGCTACCCTGTGTCAGTAGAATTCTGGTTGCCTTATTTGTACACAGCAGGAGTGAGAATGGTTTGTGCAGAGTATATTGATGTGGGAAGGTTGCAGCAGTGATAGAATGGTGGTACTAACCACAAGAAAGGTTGGGTGGGGGGCTTATAGACCTTAGTGTTTTTGGATGATGTCAGTAATGGAAGAAGAAACTAATTTAAGTGGGTTTTCAGCCTTTACAGAGAACAGTAGTACTGTGTATCTCTAGCATTCATAGTATTTAAAGATTGGCACCGAATGGTATCTGGATGCACTCCTTAATGCTTTTATCAGAGCCAAATCTCTGATGTTATGGCATAGTGACTATTCTTGAATTCATTATTCTGCCTTGTGTAGCTCAGCCTGTGACTCAGGAATACATTCTCTCTGTCAGAGTCTCACAACTTTTAGGGGGCTGGAGATATGATGGCTCAGCTGTTAAGAGCACCCACTGCTCTCTCAGAAGACCCAGGTTTGAGTCCAAAAACCTACATGTTGGCTCACAACTGTCTGTAACTCCAGTTCCGAGGGATCCATTGCCCTCATGAACCTCTGTTGGCACCAGGCACACATATGTTCCGTAGACATACAAACAGGCAAACACCCATACACAGAAAACTCGATAAAAAATCAGGTGTTTATTTGTAGGTGCCATTTAATACCTATTTCCAGTCTCATCCTTGCAACTGATTAGCATTGTGATGTCACACAAGTCTCTCTGCCTGCTTCCTACAAGCCAGACGTAAATAAATCAGTATGCATCTATATCAGTAGAGGGTTGGGCTATTGGCTCAGTGATTAAGAGCACTTGAAGCTCTTGTAGACCTGGGGTTTGTTCCCTTAACCCATACCAGGTAACTCACAACTACCTGTAACCCCAGTTCCAGGGGACTAAAATACACTTGGGCACACACACACATAAATTAAATAATTATTTTTTAAAAAAGGAAGAAAAGAAGAAGAGAGAACACACACATAAATTAAATAATTATTTTTTTAAAAAAGGAAGAAAAGAAGAAGAGAGAAATGTTCACACAACGGGAAGGACTATAGGGAAGGAGGCCACCAGGAAATCTGAAAGTACTGCAGAGTGCTGGGGTTGAACATCTGGTGTTTGCTCAGTTTTTGCGTTTGTATTCTTATCTGCTTTGCTCTTGCTTTGATTGCTTTTGGTCTGTCTTTGAACAAATGGGGAAGAGGGTGATCATTTAGCAGCTAAACTGAAATGTTTAAATATGACATGCATGAGGCATCGGACATGGCAAGAAATCAAGAGTTTCCAGAAGCGATCCGCATAGCCACACCATACCGGCCAGGTCGGTCATTTTTTGATTCATTACCTTATAAAGGTAGAGACAATATTGTAGCAGAGACAGAATTCCACATAAATGGGGTTGAAAAGTGAGTGACTGCCCAGGAAAAGCAAACATGGAACCTTTAAGAGATGGTAGTGCAGCTGAAAAGCCCACTGCAGCATCAGAAAACCTCTAAACCTCTTCCTGTGTGCTTTGGGGTTTCACATCTCTCTCTCTCTCTCTCTCTCTCTCTCTCTCTCTCTCTCTCTCTCT